AAAGAGAAACATTAATGATTTTTGTTTTGTTATCTTCTCTTACTACTCTATCAACTTCCGTATGATGGAGATTTTTTTATTTTTGACCTTTGAGAACTATCAATAGAACGTTTTCGTACGAAATTAGATAAGAAAAAGAAAATGAAAGTAAAAGTACACAAAAATAACACTTTAATATTCTATTTTTTCGAATAAAATATACTTGTATGTAAGATCTTATTAGAACTTACTGTTAAATTTTTATTCAACTAATATCATAATGAATAAAATAGAACTAAGAAAATTTTCGCTTTTTTTTATGATGCGTAAAAGAAAATGTATGTAAATAGATCTGAAATATATATAGAGAGAAAAAAAACAAACATCATTGAATTTTATACACGTTTATATCACTGTGATCTATATATTTAAATAACATTGTGTGTAAATAAAAAAAGAAATGAAACATTGACGTCTACTCGTTACATTTTATGAGTAATTTATTCATGAGCAATGTATTATTCGCCTTTCTTTTTTTTTTTTTGAATAGGGTACGGAGAGAAAAAATCATAGTTTAGTCATTTTGTTTTTGAAGAACAGTATTGTTGTTGTTTATTTTACAAATCCATATAACCAATCATAAGTAAATCTTCGTATGATTGGTAAGAAGAATTAAACCAATAGAAAAGAAAATCTTTTGAAAGAGTTTTGTTTGTACTGATATGTATAGTTTTTATTCAAATGATTCTTCGCAAAATTTTTCAATAATTCTAATTAGTATATGATGATTATATTTTTTATTCAATTCTCGATTTCAAGATTTTATACAGATGTCGCTGGTGAGAAGTGAATCTGTTCATCATTCTAAGATCGAAACCGTCTGACAATTGATTTTATATCTCTAAAAATTGAATAATAATCGGCTGTTGTATACATCGTAATTAATCAGAACAAACAAATAAAAAGATTAATTTAAGCATTAGAACGAGATAGAAAAGAAATGCATGCTGAATCGAAATTGTTTTTACTTGATAAATGGATAATTCTTTTTTTTTTTTTGTTTAATTTTAGTTCGATAAAGAAATAAATATAATTTCTAATTAAGACTTTCGATAGAAATTTTCTATTTTATTTATTGATTTAGGATGCTGGAGAGTCTGGGAAGAGTACAGTAGTAAAACAAATGAAGTGAATGTAAATATATAAATCTAGGTGTTTGTTGTTTTTTGAAGAAGATTTTAGAATCATTTTTAATGAAAATGTTTATATAACAGAAGAATGTTTTCGTTTTAAATCTGTCATTTATTTTAATACAATTCAATCCATGTTAGCAATCTTATAAACAATGAATCGATTACAAACATCGTTCATGAATCCTATTCGAGAAGTATGCGAAAGATTTAGAACGAGAAAGGATCAATCATTTCCATTGTTTCTTATTACTGATAGTATTGAAGAGGGAACTGTACGGCTAAATTTCAACGAAACATTCTAATTGGAATCTGATAGTCGCGTCGAAGATGCGAGATACCCTTTTATTGATTATTTGTATTGTGTCACCTGACACATTTCTCAGACAATCTTGATGATAATCAAGGCATAATTGACTATTACTTTTAGAGTGTAGTCTGTTGAATTCGGAACCAATTCAACGAGCTCTAAACTGCAGACTATATCGAATAAATCACGTATCTTTTTGTACTTTTAATTGTGTTTAATTAAAAATAATTTCACCAAGATTTGAGAGAATTTTCGAAATTAAAAAAAAGATATTAAATTCATTTTTTACTTCATAATCGACATATTTTCATAAAAATATATTGACTCTAATATTTTAACTATTTAATTAAGCGAACATCTTCGAAGAGTAGGGGAATAAAAACTGTTAGCACAATTGTGATAGAAATCATTGGATCCGCACAGTGTGCATTTTTCTCATGGGAGACGGACATGTAATTTTCGTGTTTGGAAACGGGTTTGTGTTGCTCAGAAGTGATTGTATATTACTTAAAAAATTTCATTTCAGAAAATAAAGCATTTTTTTGAAAAACAAATTTCAATGAAAAACACCTGAGACTTTCCTTTGCCCACATTTTTTCAAGAAATTGTTTTGTATCAAACGTCATTTCATGTGCTGATTCAGGATATGATATTTTTGTTCAATAAAAATCTTTCTGAACGGAAAAAATTGTAAAATACCTGAAAAATCAAGGTTTTTGGAAAGCTTACTGTACGATCCAGGAATGTTTGTGCTAACAGGGATGATACAGAACAGAGAGAAGAACATTTTGGCAAAGTTTGAGAGAATTTAGATCATGGCTAGGGATATTATTTTAACTTCTCTAACAATGTACCATAAATCTATAACACCCAGAGTTTGTGAATTCCATACTTTGGTTTCTGATGGGGCCATACTGAGAAGTTTTTTTATACTAAACTTTTTTATTTATAAATATATTATAGACAGAAATTATGTGGATGAAATTATAATCGTCATTGAAGAATACGAATAGAATCTCCTTTTGATCCTAATTTAATGACTGTTTTCCAAGGAAATGGACAATTGTCAACATTGATAAATAATTGAACTAATCGTTTAGTCCGATGATGTTCTAACTGAATCTGTCGATTATCACAGTCTAATGTCAATGTTACATCATCACCTGTGGAAATGAATTTATGATCGCCACTTTTTTGAGCTTCACCATTTACAACAACTCTAACTAAATCCCACCATCCATTAACAGATTTAACGTTTACATCATCTTCGGTTATCTTTTTAGATGATGATGAAGTAATTCCAAAAAATATACGTGAATTTCCAATTTTATCAATTCGATAATGTATATAATGTGTTCCTGACGAGTAACGATTACTACCATAAATAACTGGATAAGAAAAAAATGTTGTATTACATGTAATGGCAAGACGTTCTTCAGATGTTATTGCTTTTCCAATGATTTCATCAAATCTTTCATTAGAAGATGTTGAATTTATAACAGTAAGAATATGATTTTGAAAAGTTTCTTGAGAGAGATTAGAAGAACGATATTGTTGTTGTTGTTGATTATGTATGCTAATCAATGGAATTATTAATTTTTGTGATTCATTTTCAGAAATAGAAATAGTCGATGATGACTCAAGCATTTTGCGAAGCGTTCGTAGTTGTTGAGTCCATTTTTTAATATCGATTTCTGTATAATCATCGAATTCTCGACTTGATCGAAGTTCTTCTGTCATTTTACTAATAGATTTCTCTAGTTCATTTTTAGTTCGATCGAGTAATTCTCGAAGTTCAACTCGTACAGTTTCTGCTGCTATTCGAATCTTATTAATAGATTCTTGTTCCCATGTATTAATTTGACAAAAAAGAGGATGTTCTATTATTTTATGATCTAAAGTTTGTCGAAAAAGATCACGTTTTTGACTTATATTCTCCATTTGATTGGCAAGTTCTTGTCGATGTTGATTAAAATGATTAATACAATATACTTGTTGACAACCATTACATGTCGTTATTCCAGCACCTTTACTACATTTTATACATGGTTGTTTCATATTAATTGATGCCATTATTACACTTTAATAAACATAATTAACAATATTCTAAAAAGAATAAAACAACACTAACCAAGTTTTATTAATTTGGGTTTTTTTACTTCATTTCAATACAATAAACAGTCAAAACTAATGTCATCACATGGATTGAGTAAATATTTACCTTATAGACCTTCATAAAGAAAGGAAAAAAAAACATTAAACATATACGTAGAAAGACATCTTGTAAAAAAAAATGCGTCACAGAGATTACCATGAAAATGTATCGTTTTTCAATCTTTTAAGCAATTATTCGCCGATTTGTTTTGTTTATTAAACTAAATATAACCGGCTTCACTAAACACATACACTTTCACACGTCATTTTTTGAGATCGATCAATGATTAAGAATAGTAGAGGGTGTGGGTGGGTGTGGGGTGAGTTGGGTGGTGTGGGTGTGGGGTGGGTGGGTGGATCTTGCTTTTCACACCCATACCCTTCTTTTTTAATGACATAATCAATGGGGTTAAGCATCTTCTCCTCACTGATTGTGGTGATGTTTGCTAAATTCTGCTACAAGCTCTTCAACTCAATGACGAGGTCTAGAATTTTCGGAAAGGGAGGTGACATAGATGTCCATCGCGGCTGAGAATCTGCCATAGTCCTAGGAGAGAGAAGGCTCCCGCACCGCCAACGCTTCGGTGACAGCGGTAACGCCCCCATGGATATCTGTAGGAGGTGATCCGGGTTGCAAAACATGTTTTGAAGTGCATTAGAGGTCGTATGAGCTCATTTTTGTACGTTCGTTGCTGAGAAAAATCGAAAATTATTTCGAAAGGGAGGGACGATCGACTTCAGTGCCTTCTCTACAGCCGCTACTGACCCCACTAGAGAAACTGCGGTTATATTAAGCCTCCTGCTGTCATTATCCTAGTTACAGCATTGATTTTATGAATAACAGAAAGTCCGTTATATATATATATATCTTGAACAAATTTATGGTCCCTATAAAATAGTGACATCTATGATATGTTCAATATGTATGTTCATTGGTTTATTGAAGCAAAAAGGCACGAAACAAAGACAAAAAGTAACAATTTGCTAATCTAATTCAATTTGTTTTTTTGTAAAAAGAAAAAAGGTAAAGAATAATGTCGTTCAATGCATCAATTCAAATGTTAACACTTGCTTGGAATGAGAAACGTTTTAATGAATCAAAATCTGCATATAATGCAGCTCGTCGTAGTGTTTTTCGAGCAGCAACTAGTAAGTTACCAAAACAAAACACCCAAGATTCGAAATCAAATATTTCATCGATTTTCTAGTTTTACTTAATTCTGAATTAAAAATTCTTCAAAATCAAAATGATGAAATTCGACATGAAATTAATCGCTGTCAAAATGATCTACAAAAATATGATAATAAATTACAAATGCTTGATAATATGACACAATTAGCTACACAATCACTTGAAATTTATTTTCAAGCTGTAAATAAAGAAATATTTTTTTTTTAAATAATTACATAATAAAAAAATTTTTCTTTCTATTAGCGTATGGAAAATTTACGTACATTTGTTACTGAACAATGTCATATCATATCTGATGGTATTCAAGAAGAAGCTGATCATTGGAAAGAAATTCATACTATGTTACAACAGTAAATTAATATCAAGATTTTTTATATTGAATTTGCTTTTTTTTGTTTTTTGTTTTTTATAGAAAATTAGTTGTACCAGGTGATTTACGTTCTTATGGTGGTGGTAATGGATTACCTCGCGCTGTTAAACAGAGTCCAAATTTTAGTCAAATTGTTGAAGAAGAAGAAGAGGAAAAGGAAACTGATGTATCTACTTTGTTGGTAAGATTCTAATCTCTATAGAATATGATAAAACATATTTTACTTTTTCCAGCAATCACGAACATTAACGCCATTAATTACTCAAACATTAAAGAGTAAGTTTAAATCGAGGTTTTTGTTGGCTCTTCCTCCTCCTCCATAGGCTCTAGCAAGGATGTGAATGAAGAGGAGACTGACACCTACAACAATGCAAGCAAAAAAAAAAGAGGAAAAGTTTCTGTTCGAAATGTAAAAATAAATAAGACAGCTGGTTTTCTTAGCGATCAATGATCCTTGGAAAATAGCTATAGTCTGCTAGAGATGATTTCAAGAATATGTAAAATCAATTCAACACTGTCGGATCCTATATGAAATTAACTTTCGTGTTATAGAAGTACGAACATTTCTATATAGTACAAATTCATGTTTCTCACCTAAGAGGAATTTAATCCTCTTTTTTGACAAAAGAAGTTATTGTAAGAACTATCAAAATACATATAAATCTACCTTAACATATTTTGTATTACTAAAGTGACGTTAAGCAATACGTATAAGTTCTACATTTTAATCCGAAAGAGATTGCGTGCTGACAAATTTTTCATTTTATTCTTTTGCAAAATTTTTAGAAGCTCGTTTACTTGCATCAAAATTATCTCAGAATACATCATTAATTATTCCATCGGAATTAAATATATCAAAAACTGTTCATGAAGAAACATTAATTGAAGAACCACCAATAACTTCCATTGTATCGGATGATCATGTTACATTACGTGATGTTTCTGCTATTGAAAAAGCAATTGAAATCGATCATAATATACCTAATCCTGAATTATCTATATCACTTTTACCATATATTCTAACGACAAATATTGAAGAAGAAAAACAAAATAATAAATCAATTGCTTCAACTATTTCCGATAAAACATTTGTTAAAACATCTCTTAAACAATTTTCATCTGATGAAGAAACTGACGACGATGATGATGATGATACCATTATTGAAGAAAGTTTTATTACTGATAATATTGAAAATACACGTCCATTATTATTAACTGCTGATCGATCAATTCGTAGATTAGTTACACCATTACGACAAGAAAAATATTCATTATCAAATCAATTGAATATTGAAAAAATAAAATTTAAACAAGAAAAAATAAGTTTTCAAGAACCATTACATATCGAAAATAATCAATCAGATAAAACATTATTATTAAGTAAAAATTCAATTGATATTGAAAAATCGAATCATATTCGTTCGACAATTATTGATCATCATAGTACTTCAAAATTATCACCAATTAAATCTGCTAATTCGTAAAAAAATTTCATTTTTTCAATAGTTTTGTTTTTGTTTTTTTTTTTGAAATAATATTTATCTAGAAATGACGACGAAGAAAAAGAAGATGTAATACAACAACCAGAAAAAAATCTAGTCGATACAGAACTACCAACAAATCAATCAAAAATAAACAAAAGTCCAATTGTTGAACAAATACCCATTGAAAATCCTACTACTAAACGAAGAACTACTCGTCGAACTACTATTCGACTTCTTCGAGAAAATCAAAATGGTATGAAATAAACATATAACAGAGTAGTATATAAATAATTAGACAATAAAACAATTCCATATATCGACTTTTCTCAAATCCGATAAGCTGATCTTCAGTAGAGTTTGGTGATTCCAAAAAAAAAACCGGAACCGTTAAATCATCAGATAGATACAAGTATTTTCAAATCTATACAAAGAAATCTTCATTTTTTCATTCTTGATATTAAAGATTTCACTATATATGTATAATATTGTTTTGTTTAAGTATTGACACATGTGATGTCTTTAATCTCAACAATTCAATAGTGAAAGTTTCTCAAAGTAAATTTAAAATTTTCATATCTCTCTGATGAATTAATAATTTCGGTTTCGCGTGATATTTTAGAAACCGTCGGACTCTATTCTTTAGTGATAAAGGGCTCATCGAAGTTTTTATACATAAGAAAAATGTCAAATCGATATTAAATAGAGGTATCACTATCGATCAAGAGCATCTCAGTCATTGTTAGAGATAGACATGCGAAAATTTTTTTAGCACATACACTACCTTAGAAAAGTAGGATCAGTCCGACTTCGTTTGCTTAAGGTCAAGAAAGGAAGAAGTTTATGATTCAGGGTATGGGCGTACTAGTATAGTTGGAGAGAAGATTCACACCCAAAATAGTAGCCATTGATGATTTCCTTATAAATAAAAATTTTGAAATGTCCTCTATTCTCAAGGATAAAGGCCAGCTCGATTGATTAAATTACCAACAACAAAATGCTTACGAATCGTATTTTTGATGGCTACTTCCATAAGTAGTCAACCGCAAAAGTCACAAGGTTTTTTTCTTTGTACAACTCGTTGCTCCAATCATTTAAAAAAAAAACAATATTCAAATTTACTCAATAAGCCACGGTACTAGGGTCAAAATACTCACAAACTGTTGCTGAGCGATAGTTGACGTTTTCAAGTATTTTGGCTATAGTACCATGATCTATTGAGTAAATTTAAATAGTTTTTTTTTTTATATCAAAATGATCAGCGAAACGTTTAGTTGTAGTTACGATTATCTTTATTTTTTAGATAATTTACCATTACAACCACCTATTGAAATTCCAACAAAAACTCGTTATGCAACTAGATATTCCACTCGATTAGCAGCTACGGTTATGAATGAAGGTGTTACAATATCTCGAACATCAACAATGCATCGACGAATAACACGTTTTACTTCTGAATAAAATATAGAAAATTTATTGTAGATATATATATCTTATGTTTATTTAATTAGTTGTCGAATTAAATAAAATTGTATAGTTTTGTGTATGATAATGTATATTATTATTTCCTATTGTATTGTCTTTTTTTTGACAAGATTCATAATAAAATTTTTGTTCTATTATGAAAATCGAAAAAAAAAGAATTGGCGCTTGTTGTAAAATTAAATAAACATGGAATATGAAAATTTTAGTCGTCATCTTCGAAAAAAATATTATACACGTGTACATATTGCTGAACAAATTATTGATCAACTTAAATATAATAATCAACAACAAATATCAATGACATCTGTACATAATAAAAATATGATTAAAGCTCAACAAGAAATATCTTATTTGAATAAATTTGAATATGATAAACAAAATTCGAATGAAAATAATAAACAATTAGAACCTTATTTTAATGAATGTCTCTTAGCTGCAGAACGTATTAAAAATAATCGACGTTCTGATCGTGATAGACAAATTTGTTATGAAAATTTTATTTTAGCACAAAAATTAGAACGTATTAAAACACAATCTGGACAAAATGCACGAATAAATTTAGAAAAAGATTATCAAAATCATTGTCGATTATTAATATCAAAAGCTAATTGTAATCATAATACAAATAAATTAATTAACAAAAGATTTACTACCAAACAATTTTTATTATCAAACGAAAAAGGTTAAAAATAGTAGAGTATATTTCGGAATCAAAAAATTGTCTTTAAATATCAAAAAAATTCGAGAAGAGATCAAATTAGCAAAAGTCACACATTCTTTCACGTATTGTCAAACTAACTTTTTGTTACCTATACTACTATACACTGTTTGAAACGGGTATTATTTTTTCGTAAAATATTGTTCTCCTGATTTTTAGTACCTCTTACAAAAAAGGTCTATTCAAAAAAAACTAGTGTCCGACTTGGATCGAGTCATAGTGCTACCTACTATGAAAATTCCGAATTTTTCTGATGAGCGGTTTTTCAGAAATCTCGAAAAAGTGGGGGAAAGATGCCCTTAAATTATCCTCCGATTTGTATAAGAGTTATAGTAAACACGATAGTGAGATATACTAACTAAAGACTCTACTTTTATATAATATTTGTAATTTTGTTTTGTATATTTTCAGATAAATATCTATGCCTATAAACATTAGAATAAAAATAATTTTATAAATAACCACATTTGAGTCATCTATGATTATGAAACGACAACTGTAAGTCGAGTTTGGCAAAAAACATACTAAGTGAAGATGGCATTAAAGTTAGGTTTTTATGTGAAACTGGTAGCGTGAAAGGTCGTGAGAACATTCTGACCAATCATCAAAAATTACAGAAGAAAAAGTCGACGAAATTCATGATGTTTATGAAAAATGATCCATATTCATGTACTTGAGCTATTGCAAAGATCTGCTCCATTCCATGCACAACATCACATCGAAGAACTTTCATTGCAACCGTTCTGTCAGAATGTTCGCAATCTTTTACTGTACCAGTGTTCACAAAAGCATTGAAATGTAACTTTAATGCAATCTTCACTGTGTGCAGTTTTCGTTTCACAAATAATATACAGAACAAAATTATAAATTAAATCGGTTGAATTGCACAAGAAACATTTATGTTAGTCTTCCGGATAGACTTTTGGGACATTTTGTATATAAAGAATTTTCTATGTTTATATTGATGATAATAGATTCCAACGAAGATAAATCCTCCGAAATGGTCATAACTTCTTGTCATTCATCACTATCTATCAAAAGTGAAAGTGTAGCATCATTGTCTGATAATGAAGATGATCAAGCAACAGCAGCTGATGTTGATGTTAGTATGGATTATTGTGATTCAAGATCACTTGTATTATATAAACAACGAAATATATTTCGAAAGAATTGTAATCTTAATTGTGAACAATCTTCTTCTTTGAAGAATCAAAAGGAAAAATTTTTTGAAAAAGAAAATAATCATATTTATCAACATCTAAGCAATATCGATATGATGATGGTCAGAGATACGATTCCTCTACTAACATCTCAAAAATCACGACATTTTTCTATATGTATTCTTCCTCATTTTGATTCTGATAAGATAAAAACGACGGACAATCACTCAAAAATCTTATCACATGATCGAAAATATGCATTTAAAAAAGAGATTTTGTATCATTAAATGTCCAATAAATGATTAATTATCATATACTAATTTTGTTCATTAATGATTAAGTTTTATCAAGCAAAAAAAAA